CACATTTAAAAAAAAAAAAAAAAAAAAAGCATGGAATTGTCAATGTATGGTGTTTAAAAAAGGTAAAACCACACAATTTTGTTGTTTTTGTGAAATACGTTCAACTTTTTCTGTTAAAGGGGTCATATGATGCGATTTAAATTTTTCCTTTCTCTTTGGAGTCAACATCATATGACCCCTTTAAAGTAGGGGAATGTTTCTCATCTTGTGCTCAAATCTCTTATGGTGTTCCACAGGGTTCTATTTTGGTTCCTCTTCTTTTTGCATTAAATATGATTCCTCTTGGTCCTATTATACAGAGACACAACTTATCTTATCATTTCTACACTGATGACACTCAGCTCTATCTTCCTGTTAAAGATAACGGCGGTTCTTTTTCCAGTTAGTTTGAATTTGTCTGCATGACATAAAATGTTGGATGGACATGAATGTTTTACAGCTAAACAATGACATAGCTAAAATATTAATCTTTGGCCCATCAGTTCTGTTTCTCATCCTGTATATACTGCTTTAACACCCCTTCGATCATCAGTTAGGGTTGAATCTAAACTCCGCAGGTCTCCGGCCCTCCAGGAATTGAGTTTGAGACCCCTGATCTAGTCAATTACTACTCTCAGTGCCTTTCGTTTTGACCGGGCTTTCTCAATGGCTGCTTCTATAGTCTTCCTCTCTATATTAGATCTGCTCCTTCTAGTTCTATGTTCAATTCCTCTTTGAAGACCTATTTTTATTATTTGCATTTAATTCTTCCTGAGGGTGTAACATTTTCATTTGCACATTTGTGTTTTGTATATTGTCTAGTCTTTTATTTTGTTTTAATTCTGTTTTATATTTCCTGTACCGCAATTTGGTTTCAACATCTGATGTTTTTACATGTGCTTTATTATAAATCAATTAAACTAAACTTTATTCCAGCAGAAGTGTCGCTCGCCGGGCGTGACGTCATCGACGCGCGACAGCACTTGACAGCAAACAAACAAACAAACAAACACACGCAGTAGTTTCGAGTTGACAGAAAACTCACTCACATCAGGTAAGCGACTGGTTGTTTTATTTTAGGATGATTTATCGGTAATTTGAGGAGACCAGCATGAGATGATAAACACGAAAACGCTAGTTTCTGTTTGGCATTTACCTGATGAATTACACAATCACTCACTATTACTTTACAATCACAGTAAAGTGCCGGTTTTTGTTTTGTTTTGTGTTTATAGACGTACCACGGTACAGTGATATCATACTATGGTACTTGGAAATATATTTACATGGAACTCCTTCCATGTACTTCCAAGAATACCATGGTACTTTTTTTGTAAGTGACACAGTAATTCTTTAAAGCAGGGTTTTTTCAAACTGAAAAAGAAAAAAACAAATATATAATAAAATAAAAGTTAGCTAAAATAAAATTATGCAAATTAAGTTAGCCATAAAAATTAGGTTAAAATAAATCATACAAATTAGATTAAAATAAATAAGTTAACAATAAAAATAGATTTAGATAAATAAATAATACATTTAACAGTACAGTACTAGATTGTGTAGCCAAAAACCTAATGTACCTTAATAGATTATACTATAATATTTTCCAAATAAAATGTTAAAATCGTATAGTATATAGTATATAAATTTACATTAGTATAAACTGGGTTTTTATACATGAAAATGTACATTTTATGATGGGATCCCTCACATGAGGAGGATCATATTTGGGGTTTTGTTGATCTATAGGATTGAAAATCCCTGCTTTAAAGTGCCTAAAATATCATGTGAATACTTTGAAATCTTGATATTGTTATCACGGTATGATATAGTATGGTCATACTGTCACCATACACTCATGATGATGATGATGTCACTTCCTGTGGCTGCAGATGGTGTGTATCAGGTTTGCAGAAAAGACATCCAGCTAGTTATCATCTAAATGAATTGACTGCGAGTATTATAAATTCTCCCTCATTCACACAGTGAGATGGACATGGTGGAGCGATGAGGTCTGGCCCCACATCTTCATCATCCTCCTCATCACATGACAGAAACTGCAGTCGCAGGAGTCCTGTCTCGCTCCTGCGCAAAGGTGAGGAATCCTCAGGACATTTAGACACTCGTTTCTCATGTAAAATAGAGCGATTAATGCACGCTTCAGTTGTGATAGATATAGTTCATCATCATTGTGGGTTTGTGAAAGTTCGTCAGCAGATGCACCTTGTATTAAAGGGATAGTTGACCCAAAAATTCTGATGACAAAGGTTTTGTTCATACTAGAGCCCGACCGATATATCGTTTAGCCGATATTATCGGCCGATATGAGCCTGTCGCCGATATATCGGTATCGGCGAATATGCCGCCGATATGAAATTTTTTTTACAGAACATATAACGCAGATTAAATGCTTCTGAATGGTATAATTAATTAGTTTGTCCAGCAGAGCGCGCTCCATTGTTTGCTACTGGCGACCTGGATGAAACGCTTTAAAGCCTAAGTCTATGGAAAACCATTGAAACTTTGAACGGCCATATCTCCGTAACGGCGCGGCGAATCCGCACCAAATTCGGGGGATCCCTTCAGCTCGAGGAACCCTCTCGAACGCTAATTGAGCGTACGTCTCGAGGCCCTCTTTCGAATGAGACCACCCCTGCGT